GTAGGGAAACGGGACGAAAAGGCTGAGGGATGAAAATTACAGAAGGAAACACGGTGGAGGCTCAGTCAGGATTTGAGGCTGAATTTCAGTCAGTGGTGTCGGAGCTGTTTTTAAAATGTCTGGAATTATTAACACGGAGAAAAGTACCATCACACCAGAACCTTCTGGAAGGCATCCGACTGACAGCAGCTCCCTTTTCCCTGGAAAGCGTGGAAACTGTTCCCGAAGATGATTTCAGGAAATGATGAGGAAGCTTGTGTAAGAGAGCTCAGGCCGTGCTGCAGAGCAACACTCCATATATGTATGCACACGTTACACAAACAGCCCATTCATCTGTACAGGACAGCACAAATAAACACAGTGGAGATGATCACACACACACACACACACACACACAGCTGTCATAGGGCGAGAGGCGGGGTACACCCTGGACAGGTCGCCAGTCTGTCGCAGGGCCAACACACAGGGACAGACAACCATTCATGCTCACATTCACACCTGTGGTCAATGTAGATTAATCAATTAACCTATCACAAACAAATCATTGATAGTTTATTCTAGAGGATGTTTAATGTTAACACCAGTTAAAAGTTGTTATGGTGCCACACACCACATGCTGGCGCTGCAGCGCCCCCTGTCTGTCTGTGATGGGTTAGCATGCGGATGCTAACTTGGATGTGGCCGTACGGTTGACCTCGGCGTGTTGCTAAATGAGTGCAGACAAAGTTGAATTCAAACATTACTTTTGTGCGTGCACTGATGGCGTGCTCGCCGCACACACCTGGACCTCCCTCCCGCTGCAGCCGGCTGATCCTTCGTGCACTGCAGAAATGACTTTGATTCAGTTTTAATAAAACAAAGAACAAGCGGAGCCGCGGCGCTGAAAAGAAGCTCGTGTGAAACGAATCAGAGGACATTGTTTCACAGGAAGCAGCGCTGCACCTTCAGATCTGTTCTGCTGTTGCTGTAAACAGGAATCTGCGCTTTAATTGACCCGACCGATTAAATTCAGGTTAGGACAAAAACAGACAGACAGAC